CTATACGGAGCTGAAACTTCCAGAACTACCACAACCGTCATCAAGAAGGTACAAGTATTTATAAACAATTGTATACATAAGATTCTGAATGTTCATTGACCGGATACCATTAATATCATTCTACTGTGGAACAGAACAAGCCAACTTCCAACTGAGGTGGAAATCAAGAAAAGACAATGGAGGCGGATAGGATATACACGTTAAGAAAATCATCAAACTACATCACGAGGCAAGCCCAAATATGGAGTTTTGAGAGGAATCGGAAGAGAGGACAGTCAAAGAACACACTGAGTCGTGAATTGGAAGCAGACATGAAAATGATGAATAGCAACCGGAAAGACCTGAAGAAGATTGCCCAGGATGGAGTGGGATGCAGATTGTCGCTGGGCTGCCTATGCTCCCCGACGATGGGTAACAAGTATAAGTAAGTAATTAAGAAGTGTGGATAATTTCCAGATAAGTCTGTGTTAGCTATCCCCATAAGTAACAAAACGGCTATATCTACACTCAGTTTAAATTTACATACGTTCCTCAACGCAACTACGTAACAATTTAATGTGAGTTCTTAAGTGTTGCCTGAAAACCTCCTGATAACGTCAGAAAATTCTAGCTCAAGTATTCATTTACCCCGATCTCCATCTGGTCTGTTCCAAAATTGAACAAGAACTCACTGAAACACTAGTCTTATTTCTTCTGTAACCAAAACGAGGGAAACTACCAGCACGAAATAGTTCAGCCTAATCTTAAACACAAAATTTACTTTATCTTCTGTGTATATTTTTTATTTTGTTGTAAGTGTAAACCTTTTGACAGATTAATAAGGGTGTCTTTAACATAAACTTCATATATAGATTATCACACATTATCCGTGTGGGAACCATTATTTTACCCCCTTGTATTATGTTGATGCGTTTGTCACATACCACATTTCAGACTCGATACCGAGCAAAAGGCTAGAAGATAAGTATAGTCTGTCGTCGGGAGAGATAGACACGAGAAGAAATGTTAAATCTGAGGGGATTCGTTGTCGAGATTTATGCTCTGTCCTCATTGCTTTAGTTGCCAGCATCACAACCATACACCATGTCTATTCCCTTTCAGATTATCAGTACGCTTTGCAAGACCAAATATTTAAGTGGGACAGAACATTTACCACTTGTTGTAATTCTGTATCGGATTATTTTATACGAGCAGCAAAGCAATTCTTCAGGCCAATTCATTATTAGTGTTCATTTAAAAAAGGGGTTTTCTTTATTGTCATCTTTAAGATGGGTAAAAAGGCAGATAAGTGAACGTTTTATGGCCGAATAAAGAGTGGAATAGTCGTGCGTCATCAAAATAGTTTTGGGTAGTCAGCTCGCGACACTTCCTCAGAATTTTTCATCTCATCTTCATACCTTTCATTTTCGTACTGTTCTGATTCTCATACAGATGGTACGTACAACAAGTCATATGTAGTAATTTGTGAAGAGGTGTTTCCGAGATAAGATAACAAGATAGTAAAGTATATGACATCTTTAGGCTATCTCTGAATATTAACTAAGCGTCGGTGTTACGTCTAAGATTTAACTCTCTTCCGTCATTATAACAGAGTAGATCGGTCTATTTGCAACTTACAATCCCAAAAATAACAATAGACCCTAACTCAAATTCAGGCATCAAAATTTAGAAGTTGACTAGAATAATTGCATCCAAAAACACAGTGAAATTACCAGTATTCGGTATGAGCGTTGTTAATCAAAAAAATGTCTTCAGTACTCCTGTAACACTTGGTCAACAATGATTGTAGAAGTAACAAGGTTAAACATATAATTGTGGGGCTCTCATGAAGAACTAGTTGGAAGGAAATGTTTGTTTGCTTGACTTGCCCTTTTGATTTAAAATGTTTTAAATTCTTTATAGTGTTAGTGATAATACTGAAAGCATACACCGATTTTATCCTTTATTTTCTGAGAAATTCGTAGAATTATGGTCTACTTCGTTATTGGTACTGCTCTAATAACAGACCAAAACCTAAAATTGTAGACTTGTCAAGATATAACTGCCTAATCTATAAGATCTTACGTAGAAGTCATACCATCGCCTACACCAACTCATAGTATCGTAACAATCACCATTACATGGTGCAGAACAAGCTTAGGCTAGAGATAGATGAATATATTTAAGATGAATAAAAGATATAAGATAACGTTCAACAGAGACCACGCCTGTGAGGCCGAGCCATGCCATTCGGTCAACTCAAATTGATTCGATTCATTCTCCCCGCCCTCTTCATCGTTGGGTTTTTCTCCGCGGTAAATGTTGGATGTCTATTTCCCATATTGTCTCGCGTTAGGGTCCAATGTCACTACACTACTCTCCCGTCAGAATCAACGTGATGTTGGTTCGATACCAAATTCGATAGGATTGTCGCGCGCCAGAGATTACCAAGACTAATAACAATCCTCCGGGTATTGATAAACTGAAATATAAATCAGAAAGAACGCTGCAGCATCTGGTTGGGAAATGCATATAATTATTTTAAAATATCTGCTTTCCTGCTTAACACGCTTAAGATAAAATTTGGGTGAACATTATTCGGGCTATAATAAATGAGATTATAATAACAATAAAACGTAAGATGCGTGTTAAGAGCCGTTGGTTAATAACTTAACTTATAGGTAGTAAGTATTTTCTGTTTATAAATATTGGAAGCAATCAATATTGTAGAAATGTTAATATTGGTATTAGTTTTGATTTAAATTATGAAATCAGATAAAGATTATGGCGGTAAGTTGTCCATATGAGTTGCCTTCCAATTGCATCTGTATTAGTAGGCTAACTGAAAGAACAAGTATTACCGTGGAGAAGAACTCCAACCAACGTTCCAGTTAGTTTGATACGGTTTATTTAGTTACGGGGAGATTTTCTCAACCTCATTTTTACTTGACCGTGGTAGAATTTAGTAGTACTACTAATACACATGAGTGGTTATAAAAAAATAAATACGTGAGTGATATTTGTGTGAATTTCGGACAGATAGCTAAGGACAAACCGTTAAACATGAGTGTATTTGTAAGTGTCATACTCTAGACTCAATGTTCCGCGTTGCCACAGACTATTTATTTATATTCATGCCTACCGGCTGATGGTGCATAGAAGTTAGTTGCAAGTATACAATTTAGTTATAGTGATTGTAAGTTGTTGAAATCAGCTGACCCTATGTGCCACAATTATAGGTGATGTGGTGGTGAAAGATGTCTTCGGCCAAACAGGTCTTTACAAGATGATTAACAGTGAGTGGTGCTCATGTGATTATCAGGGAGAACATAAGTTGTGACAAAGGGGAGGACACTCCCAACTCATGTCTATAATAATGGCTTGAAACTTAGTCAGTGTTGGGGTAAATTCGACAGTTATGCTTTCAGTTTTTAGGAGATTTGTTCGACTGCTTATATCGATGAGTTGCATGCATGATTGTGTCGCTAAACCATCAATTAGACTGACAAGGTTTTGAGATATTTACTGAATGAGCAACTGATAGAGAAACATAATGAAAATAATCTGTAATAGATGAAGGTAATGATAAAACAACACTGTTCAATGATAATTATAAGTCAATTTGTTGACCGATTTTGTTAATAGTTTCATCAATTTTATCAATCATATAACGTGATTGTCAAGTCATGACAATGTTTTATGATGATATCCTGAAACCATTATGTCTAACTAGTGATAGTGTTGACTAAGGATTATCCAGTTGAAAATAAGTGTTGTTGTTTTATGTGCTTCCGAAATAGCGTGAGTCTGTAGCGTTAAAGAATCTGGGCTGCCTAAATATATTATAAACTTTAGTCCAAATATATTCGTTTGGTTTTAATTTTAGTAGTATTTTCCGGAGTTTTAGTTTTAAATCTTTGTTTAGCCAGAGAGTTTAGTTATTATGCTAGTGTTGTATGAAGTTACCTACATGTCAATATAATGCAACGCATCTACGGGCCAGAATACCATGCAGATTATTGAGGTATGTGATAAATTGAAAATAATAAACATGGCCAAAATGTTACGGGAGAACTGTAGACATTTGGCCGATTAAAACCGTTTTATTGTACATCCATAATATTAATGTGTTTTTAGAAGAATTTGTTTTACTTAACCCTTGAACTTGTTTGTTTATATCATTCTTTTCGGACATTTTGGTTTCTCTTTGTCATTGGTTTGGTACTTGGAAGTTTTTGCTCCGGGAACCTACAAAACTGAAGAACGATATTTGGGTCGACTATTTGTAAATCGCGAATGAACTTTGGTTTCTAAATTGGAATTAGGTCCTATTGTTAATTTGGGTTGGCGAATTGCAAATAGACCGACATACCGTATGTAAGATCCATTTTGAAGGTTTTATGTGTTGGTGAAAATCCCTCCATGTATATACTTGTACTTTGTTCCTATTGATTCCCTTAGTTGTACATTGTTGTATTTTGATTACATTTGAGTTGTTAATACTTGTATTTTTTATTATAGTTTTTGTTTTTCTTACGCATTCACTAAGTTTGTGTTTCCTCCTGAACTGCATCTGTGTTGTTTTACTTGACACTTGTTCTTGGCGGTAGCCATATTGATTTGTTCCTCCTGTTGTGTGTGATCTATCCAGCCAGGATAGAATAACGTTGATTTGTTGTGATTGGTAATTTTTCTCATCTTCTATCAACTTCTTTATTATTGTAATTTAGATTTAATTGATTGAACAATCATTGGTTGAATAGCCGGGTGATAATATTTGTTTAGGTAATGATTTACATTAAATTTATTATGAATTATAGAACCGCTAGTTACCCGATTACTTGTTCTGATTTCGACGGGAAAGGGCGCGTGTCTAACATCCTCGGTCGGCTATTCTTCAACATCCAAACCGTAGTTTGGATCCTACAGTTCTAAACAATTATTAATTGGTCGAATTCGTTTGGCAATCGTTCGCGGATTTTGATTATCGTTTCTGGAAATATTTGGTCGTTTCGTTTATAATGCCAACTAATCGTCGAAAGAAATCAAGCTCAAAGTTCGTTGATGTTAATGAAGAATCCCCTATTACCAAGCAAGTGCCTTTTGATGTCCTTAAGTGTCATGGTTCAGACTCGAATAGGGTTGATTATCATGGTAGTGACTCTAGCCTTAATTCGATGTCAGATGATGTAAAAAATCTTAGTTTAAAGGAGAAGCAAAGGCTTGAATTATCAGGAAGAAGCGTTTTGCCTATAGCGCCTGTTGTTGGTCTAGAACTACCAAAGGTTGAATTGAGTTATTTTGATGGAGAGCCAAGAGGATACTGGAAGTTTATAAGACAATTTGAGACGTATATAGCATCAAGAGTCACCGATGATAGCCAACGTTTGCTCTATCTCATGCACTATTGTAAGGGCAAGGCGAAGACAGCTATTGAGGGTTGTGTCATGATGGAAGCATCCTCTGGTTATAAGAGAGCAAGGGAAATTCTAAAGCGTTTGTTCGGACAGTCTCATGTAATCGCTCGAGAAACATTAGAAGATTTATTTAATGCTGTTAATTTTGATTATACTGACGGGGAGCAACTATCAAACTTGGCCATTAAAATGGAAAACTGCGCTATGGTCTTAGAACAGATGAATTATACCTCTGATCTAAATTCGTTAGTTACTTTGGAAAGAATAGTAAGACTATTACCTCAAGTTATGCAAGCCCAGTGGGCGGATCGGGTGGATCAATTGACGGAAGATAATAGAGAACCGACTTTTGACGAGCTTACCCAATTTATAGCGTCCCGCGCAAGAGTAGCTAATAGTAGGTTTGGACGGTTAGCGAATCGTCCGAGAAAGGGACACAACTTAAAGACAAATTGTCACTTGCAATTAGAGCAGGAGAGTAACTCGAGAGCTAAATGCAGGGTGTGTTCCCAGGACCACGCTATTTATAAATGTCCAAAATTTTTAGCGCTTACCGTTCAAGAGAGATGGTCTCAAGCAAAAGTTAATGGCATCTGTTTTGTCTGCCTTAGGCAAGGGCATAAAGATAATGAATGTAAGCTGGCGAAACGTTGTAACGTTAATGGTTGTGAGAAGAAACACCATTCCTTGCTGCACAGCGAAAATGATAAATCTGATATCCCGAATTGTTGTGGATTTACTAAATCCCTAAGTAGCCAAGTGTGTCTAGGAATGATCCCTGTACGGTTGATGTTAGGAGATGCTGAAATGGTAGGTTATGCTTTGTTGGATAACGGGTCTGATGTAACGTTGATAAAATCGAGCTGTTTGAGGTATCTCGGGCTGAAGGAAGACCGAGCGTCAGTGGTAGTAGAGACTGTGGGTGGTAATAGGACAATGACGGTCACAAAGACCCCTTTTAAGGTATATTCTCTAGATCGGTCAGGACATGTTACGATCGAAGGAGCTCTGATTGTGGCAGGTATACCAGGTCATAAGCCAACAAGGTCGGCAGTGGACAACCTAGTTAAGTGGCCACATTTAAGGGATGTACCAATAGATAACTTCGACTCTGAAGAAGTTCTGCTGTTGATTGGTTGCGACGTACCAGAAGCACACTGGGTGTTAGACCAGCGGTTGGGTGGAAGAAAAAGCCCGTACGCTGTGAAGACGTTGCTGGGTTGGACGGTCTTCGGACCTGCGTCGTATCCAGAATATAGGAAAAGAGTGGTCAATCATACCAGTAAGATACAGACCTTGAAGAACGAAATACGTAAGCCTTATGACGTAGAGTTTTCAGATGCTTATTCAAGTGATAAGTCATTATCAGTAGATGACAAGGTGGCTATAAAGATTGTGGAAGGTGGCACGCGCTTCGGCAACGGTCATTTTGTAGTTTCTATACCTTGGAAAAAGAATCCAGATATGAAAGTGGATAATTATGAAGTAGCAAACCGTAGATTACGAAGTTTGAAGGGTATGTTGTCCAAGGATGTCAGTCTGCACACCAGATATATCAAAAGTATTAAAAGTGATTTTACTAAGTCTTGTGCGGAGAGGGTCTTTGAAATATATCTACAGTCTTATTATCGCCCTCGATGGTATTTACCTCATCATGCAGTATTAAACATGAAGAAACCAGAAGAACTTAGAGTGGTCCTTGATTGTGCCGCCCAGTTTGCAGGGGGTTCCCCAAATGATATGGTTTATCAAGATCTCGATACCACCGCTGAGTTAATGTGTATATTATTAAGTTTTCGCAAGGAGGCAGTTGCAATCCCTGCAGATGTTGAAGAAATGTTCATGCAAGTGAATGTCCCTGAGTCTGATCGAGGAGCTTCAAGATTTCTGTGGTGGGAGGAGGGGGACATATCGAGAGAACCGTCTAAGCTTCAAATGACATCCCATCCATTTGATGCCACATCCTCGCCATTTTGCGCGAACCTTGCCCTGAATAAGACGGCCCAAATATTCTCTAACGGTTATGATGGTTATGTTGTAGATGATGTCAAGAATAATTTCTATTTTGATGATTGCTTTATATCTATTCCCACTTGTGATCAAGCAAAGAGTTTCGTTAAGCAGATAAGTGAATTATTATGTAGAGGAAGTATACAAAAAATGACCGATCTTGAGTCTTGGTTCAAATGTCCTACTTTATTGCATGACGAATTTTATATAACAATCACTGACTGTCCGGAACCTACTCCTGACGATATTGAATTTAGAAAACCTGCTGTGGTTAACTTGAGTAGTATGAAGTACAACATGACACCTATTCTCTCTTATTATTCCGAGTGGTTGAAATTATTCAGAGCTGTATCCTGGTTTAGAAGGTTCATCGAATTCCTGATGGTACTTCGTTTACCGAGTTGTGAAGGATCCGTTCATCTAGGATGTTTAAAGGTCAAAGAGCTTGAGATTGCCAAGCGTAAGATTTTATTGATGGTTCAGAGAGAAGTGTATGGAGAAATACTTAGTGAATTTAAGAACAGCAGTGAAGTAGTAAGCCATGATGATCTGAAAAGTTTATCGTTGATGATGCTTGATGGGTTACTCTGCGTTGGAGGTCGACTAAGATACTCAGATTTCCAAAATGCTTTTAAACATCCAGTAATTTTACCCAGTCGACACTTAGTGACGGAAATGATAGTTAGACATTGTCATAAAGAAAAAGGGTATGGATATGTGTTTACTTGTCTGCAAACATGGGCAGTACATATTGAAATGATGTGTAATTTGATTACTGATTCATTTTTAATGGCTCTGTTACGTTTTATTGGAAGAAAAAGGAAACCTCCGGAGATTTACAGTGACAGTGCATCAAGCTTCGTGGTGACAGTTTCTGAGTTAAGCAAGTTTGTGCAGCAGTCGAATCAGAAGATAAACATTGAATTGTCAGTGAGGCCCTCATCCAACAGCATGGGTGGAGTTTGGGGTAGAGTGATTAGGTCTATATCACGACTTATCGTTGACCACCAGAGAACAGGTGAAGCAGGTCTCCTTGAAGCTTTGGATTAGTCTTTGTTGTTATTAATGCAGTTAGGTCGAGTAGGCGTACTGTTGTAAGTCCTACTCGTTCCTATGGTGTGATATGTTATATAATGAACCATGACCGTAGGCATCAAGGTAGCTTGTGTGGTATGGAGGGATTTTGGGGGCCGGTGTAAGATCCATTTTGAAGGTTTTATGTGTTGGTGAAAATCCCTCCATGTATATACTTGTACTTTGTTCCTATTGATTCCCTTAGTTGTACATTGTTGTATTTTGATTACATTTGAGTTGTTAATACTTGTATTTTTTATTATAGTTTTTGTTTTTCTTACGCATTCACTAAGTTTGTGTTTCCTCCTGAACTGCATCTGTGTTGTTTTACTTGACACTTGTTCTTGGCGGTAGCCATATTGATTTGTTCCTCCTGTTGTGTGTGATCTATCCAGCCAGGATAGAATAACGTTGATTTGTTGTGATTGGTAATTTTTCTCATCTTCTATCAACTTCTTTATTATTGTAATTTAGATTTAATTGATTGAACAATCATTGGTTGAATAGCCGGGTGATAATATTTGTTTAGGTAATGATTTACATTAAATTTATTATGAATTATAGAACCGCTAGTTACCCGATTACTTGTTCTGATTTCGACGGGAAAGGGCGCGTGTCTAACATCCTCGGTCGGCTATTCTTCAACATCCAAACCGTAGTTTGGATCCTACACCGTACTTTAATAAAGAAAACGATCAAAAACTTGGACATGACACAAAATGAAAAAAAATATTTTTGAAGTTCAGATCACAAATGAAATTTCAATTAGGAATATAATGAGTTATTAACATCTCATAAGCTGCTGTCGTTAACCTAGTGATATGTATAAATATGTGGCAAAGGCAACTACAACTGAGAAATGTTTTTAAATAACACACTTTCTTAATAGTATGTGGTAGTATAAAAGTATTAAATATTTCTAACGAAAAGTCTTGGGAGTGGCTCGTTTTAATTATATACAACCAGACTAACGGAAAAAAAAATCGATGTAAGTTAAGAAGTGCTAAAAACATAGTAGATTAACCAGGAAAATGAAAACATGAAGCTCACCTAGAATATTTTTGATGATTAGATTATTTAAAAGACGACATATATAACGCCATTCATGAGGAGTGGTTATGATCCAAAAGCATCCGGAATGAAACACGCAGTATGGCAACGAATTCCAGGGTGGTTGGTGCGGTGACGTTTTCGTCACTCGCTCGAATCAGAACAATTAAATGAATCCACATAATTGTGTGGTTGTCATTGAACAAGCCATCTGAAATGATTTTATGATTGCAGAAAATTTATAGCTAAATCTCACCGTATGTTTTGGGAGTAGAGTCTTCGTTGTTTGGCAATGGAACTCAAAAATTGGAAATTAGACAGGCAATGGTTCGAAGAAAAGATATGACGAGATAGTGCAAAGTTTAAAGCAGAATTATGCATGAAGTGAAGAAACAATTTGAAGAATTAGATCCATATGATTTTTTTAGTCCTTGCTTACGTTGCTAGTCAGTGTATATTTACGTTACTTACAGCTCGTATTTGCTAGAGCTTGATATTTAAGCAAGTCTATTGCACTGATAGTTACTAAAAGAGTAGTTTAAAATAATTCCCTCTCCAACTTAAAAGAATAGGTATGGAGTTTCGTTGAATGGAAGGAGACTTGTAGTATTGCTTCAGCTACTATTTAAGTTATCAGGAAGCTTCGTGGATGAACAGATGAGGAAGTTTGTTAACGAGAACGAAATCCTCCATGTAGCATGACATGACTTCAGTAGAAGCAAAATTCTTACCAAAAGCACCTTTCTATAGCGAAAGAGTAGGCCAGATCTATAGGGCCAACAGCTCTCCATGGATGCACAATTCCTGAACTTCGCAAAAGCATATGACAGTGTGGCTCACACCGTCCTCTTAACTCTAACATAAAAAATAAGTTTCGGTATTTATTTCCTTGTTGGTGAAAGGATTTTGTGCAAAAGCGGTCGTTCTACAAGAAAGTTAACTGAATTTATTCAAATCACAAAGCGTTAATATCCGGACAATCACAAGGAGCTTCACTTAACATCCACTGATCTGACGTTTATTAAGGTTATGTCAGGAAAATTCAGGTCATCAGTTCTCATCCATATGGACAGCAGCGTACTGCCAAACAGGTAGACGATTCGTAAGGGCTTCAAGCGGACTTATTTATGTCCTTAGACTGAAGATACAACAACGGTTTGAGTTAGACTTTCAAAACGCCGGACGACGCAATATCGAGCTATGAAGGAGCACAAGTTGACGGCTGAGGACAAGTTTTGGGGTGATGCAACAGAAGCCCATATCATTCTTCTCCTCGTTGACTAAGCCTGATCTCATCTGACCTCTTCTCGACCCCATTTACTTTCTTTGTTCTCTCGCGCCTTGAAAAACAAAATGTTGTTGGACTCTATTCAAATGGTTAAGAGGCCAATAACGCTCGCACTCTGTTCATTTTTACAATTCAATAATTGCGGGATTATCATTTAGGGAAAACACCTTTCTCTCTAGAATCTCTGTCAGCTTTTTCCAACTTATTTACTCTTTTACTTCTCTAAGAAGTGAGTAACATAATTTAATGGCAGTAGACACTCTTTCATCTTTCTGTTTATGCTTTAAAGTTTCCTACAGTCAATGTAACAGAATGACCGCTTTTAAGTGCGATAACTAGTGTTCGTAGAACTTTTCAGCCATGGAATACTAAAGATTCACCGACCTCTATCAAATTTTCTAGTCTTTGTACTTCGGAGTGAGTAAACCGCTCACACTCAACCAAATCAAAATGTTCTGACACCTATTTGAAGCCAAGAAGAAACTTTACAGGGATCAGTTAATATGTAGCAGATCAGAATAACAAATTGACTACTGAATAATACTTTACTTTGAAGGCTTAGAAAATCAAGGGCATAACCAAGTGAGTTTTTTTGAATATTCATTTGTAATCATGATAAGAAGGGATTCGCACATGGGTTTACTTTTCAAAAGTGAGGTCAACGTTTTCAAATTTTCACTTTTACAGTTGTTTTGATAGGTGATTCAGGAGTTGGAAAGACAAATTTGCGTTCGCGTTTCACAAATGATGAGTTTAATCTTGAAAGTAAAAGCACAATAGGTGTTGATTTCGCCACAAAGTAAATAGATGAAATTCAGAAATAATGATTCAAAGGAATGTTAAAGTTGACGGAAAAGTTGTTAAGGCTCAAATATGGGACACAGCTGGTCAGGAGAGATATCGGGCTATAACTTCTGCGTATGTAATTTTGATGCAAATTTTAATGTGTTCAAATGTCTAAAGTATTTAAAATTAATGGACTTTACTCACGATATTTTACAGCTACATTTAGTCAATCGTTTGCGAATTTCACGATACTGTGTCTGTGATTTAGTTCGGTATTTATATAACAAACTGTAGTTTGGTTCAAATATGCATAGCGTACAATTATCTTCATAAATTTGTTTACTTATGTATATGCATATACAGCACTATTTGTGGAGGTGCAGACGAATGAAGCCTTATAAGTTCACTGCTAAAGCCAAGGATCTGGCCTGAGGGGATCCTCATAACCATTCCGTTTTGATTATTGACTTCTGAAATGTAATCGTATATCTGGTGTTTTTTAATCAGGAGGTTTCTTGATTTTGTGACAAATTTATGTTAAAGGAGTTTTAAAACTAGTTAATCTTACGCTACTGAGGCAAAAAACATTAATCTCTGTGGTAAATAAGTTTATATCTATTCCTTAAAATGAGAATCATTTTTATATTTTGTTTGCTCGTTAGTTGCATACAGATAAAAATCAGCAGTTTCTCATTTATGACTCTCAAATATGTGATTCATAGGAATGGTATTGTACTCAGTTGCGTTTTTACTCTATTTTGGCTTTTAATTGGTACAAAATATCTTCATAGTATAAACGATGAAAAGTCCATAATTGGATTTACTGTCATATTTTAACATCGCTTGATAATACACTCGTCTTCTTGAGTAACTTTCTAAAGTATATACCTCATATCCGTTACTTGACCACTAAAACGGATTATAATATTGCCTTTAATATAGATATATAAAGCTTTCTTAAGGTATTAATGAACGCGAAGGACTGTTTACACTAAACCATCTTAAGTTGTACGTTAAATTTCTGCTGCTCATTGAAATTATTATTAATTAACACAACTATACGAGTATCGTAGATTAGCTTACACAATAGAAATTATTCTCTTAAAAATAATGAATGACGAAAATGTAAAAAAAACACGCTTCTAGGAAATATCAAAGGCGAAAATTGCATGTATTTTATTTTCCTGAAGGTCTGACTTCATATATCTGGCGTACACACCGCTGAACTTAATATACATAGCTGAAACATATCATGTCCTCCAAGACAATTAATGGTACTATGGCTCATTTCATTTGCGGTCCAATCAGTTTACTAACAAGTTGCTCGAAAACTTATCAAAACATTGTGTTCCTACTTTCCTGTTATTATCAATTTATTTTCCTGATATTAGTGTACGATAAAAGACTTATTTTATTCACGCTTGTTGGTACAAACTACTGAAAGGAAAATCACAAAACGGCTTTCAGCTATGTCATTTATTGTAAATTTCCGATGATGAATATAATGCCACAATTCTAAATAAAAGCTAACGACAAATATTTTCTTATTACATACGCTAACGGTCATAAATTTTGTTATGGTCGACTATAATGTATATTTGCCTGACTATTATTTAATTATCATCGTACCTTTTTTAATATCAACCGTAATGTAACGTCTCACATTGTGAAATTGTATGATCCAGGTTCGATTCCTACAGAGAAGACAAGTTCCCTTATAGTTACAAGTGTACTGTGCTGACCAGTATCAGTAGGTGTGAAGCTTCTGTTTAACTAACAAATATAAAAAAAGCAACTAATACCATGTCAATTTACTTTGACTTGTCGCCATATCGCAACCTGGTTGATAGAATTCGACCAGTTCTAGACAAGACTAGAAAAATGATATTATTTACTATTCAGCAATAAATTAATGTACATAGGGGCTTGATTATTTTTAAATTGAAGTTAAGATTTACCAAGATCAAAATATTGTTTTTAATTAGTCACAACCAGTTAATTAGACTATACGGATTTTGTGAACTGAAGAGATGACAAATTAATTATTTGTAGTCACTTAATGGTTTTAACAACAGAAGCAATAATAAACCAAAAAGCTGGTTAACTGTTTTGGATCTTATTTACTATTTACAGTCCCATAGATTTGTCAATTACAAACCTCTAGATCTTGTGATGATCTCGATATATTCAAACTACCTAGTGGTATGCACTCTTAACCTCAATCATTTAATGCACCTCAACATTCCTCTAATGTTATTGTTGGATAGAAAACTCATATTATAAATTGAAAACTGCGAAAAGCTTGAGCCGAACTAAATAACCTAGAAATTTAATCAAATCATCTAAGTGTCCAATATTTCAACATATAGTGTTTCAAGTCATAGTTTTAGTATTTTTGTTGATATGAACAATGAAATTGAGGTATTTAAGAGAAATATAAGGGAAATATTACACACTTAGTTTACTTATTCAAACAACTTTGATGGAGTTTTGTTCTGTGAGCTGGATGGTTTGGTCGTGGAGCTTCCATCGTTCTTCCGAACGACATCATCAGCACAAACTTCAGATAGAAGTGAAGTGCTGATGATGTCGTTCGGAAGAACGATGGAAGCTCCACGACCAAACCATCCAGCTCACAGAACAAAACTCCATCAAAATCATCCACTTGAGCTACTAATCTTCTCCACCATTATTCAAACAATACTTATTTTTAATGATAAAACCTGTAACAACTTACCTGAGTTCATAACTACATCGCTTAAAATTTGGTTATTTAGATTACTGGTTCATTTGAGTAATATGTTTTAAAGATTTGGTTGTATATTTTTTTTTGACTAGTTAATGAATTAAAGTATATTAAGATAGATGCTCAAAGTACAATAATTCTCTCTCCTTTTTTTATTCTTCCTTCCAACAAAATCTCATCTAAATTTAAACTTTGTATCTTTATTATTATCAGTGATCTATTTGACTGAACCATTTTAAGTTATCTCACTTGAACAAATTGATAGATTAGATGAAATTTAGCCGGAAAGATTGAAATATTCTCATATTTTATACGTTTTCTCTCACATGGCCACGTGCTTACAACCAATGACAGGGAAGTCCTAATCACTGCCTTCTCGCACCATGGTGTTGTTTACGAAAATGAGAGGACGAAGAGCGAATGTCCGACGCTTTAACTATGTTGGCGAACATGGAGAGTCCACCTAAGGGAGTTAGAAAACTTTGATTCCAAACCAATGGTACACATGGGCTCGGATATCCTGAAGGAACAAATGGAGTATGAATTAATCATTGGCCACCGACCACCATGGGACTATATCTCAGAAAGTATAAGGCTTTAGAGATTTTCAGGAAACAATTACCGAAATCCCTGAAAGACCTTTTCTTTGTATAAGCTATAAATTTCATTCTCTAATGAATACATGATCCAAGAATCTATTAAGAATAAACTGGGACATTGAACATCTCAGTGTTTATTTACTGGTTAACATGTTTCTATAGTCACAATTGATTGATCGCTGGGTGGTGATCAATGTCATGTGTGTCAAGTCCTTAGTGCAGATCGAATACTATCGACAAAGTTGCAATGCGGCCACTAGTCTAGATGACTCGACATTACTTGCACTATGTTGAGATGAGATGGTGGTTGAAGGTAGTCAACAGGAAACCGTGGGCCCGGGTTTCGTGCTACTTGGCACTCGTCAGCAAACTGTACCTGCAACCTTGAGAGAACTGGTGCTTCCTGGGTGACACGGGGTCTAACCCGTCAGGGAGAACCAGTTCCCTCAAGATTACAGGTACACCTTGTTGACGAGTGCCAAGTAGCACAAAACCCGGGTCCAGGGTTTCCTGTTTACTACCTCCAACCACCATCTTATTTTCGTATAGTAAATGTCATACTGTCTACAATGCATCTGTTCTAGCACGGTTTACTAAATATGAATACAAATTAATCAGTGGATATAGCGTCGAATGTTTAATTAATTCTAGTTATTTATCTCTACCAGAAATTCCATTCAAAACTATTCACAAAATCAGACAAACAGGATCCAGTTTGAACTTAATAAAAAATTTGTGCATAGTTGGGACTTTAATATTTCATCGATTCAAGCCTTGTCTTTATATTCAAAAGTAATAGATCCAATCTTTAATTTTAACCTAATCCTATTACCACCGCCCCACGCCCTGTATTACTTCGTAGGTTGTTTTGACACTGATTCATCTTTTCTTTATCTTCGTCAAATGAGCAACTATCTTCACTATGTATATAAAGTTTAAGTGGTTTAAATTATTTTTTCTGGTTAGCGTTTTTTTAGCGAGTTAGTTTTCCACAGGATGAGGTTGCTAACCCATACCCAGCTCTCCTCCTTTATCTGGGCTTGGGACTAGCAGTAGCCCCAGAGGGCCTTCAGACGGAGTTATATATATACATATGTATAATCATCTTCATAGCTCCCTACAATTATGATGTAACTTGTAATTCATTATTGAAAATATTTTGTACTTCATTTTGATAACCTTATTATTGACATAATAAACATCTATTTGATGAATACAATGAGAAGGCCAAAGGTATCAGAACTGTATAATAGATCAGTGCAATACATTTTAAACAATCTGATCACATATGTACTTGTTAAGACATTGTAAATATAATATGACATAATACTGATTACCACCTACATCTTCTTATCACATTATCTAACTTAATTAAAGAGTATCTTGTATTAGAGATAATCATGTATTGATATTGTGGAAAAGGAACTTTTCTTCTTTATAAACTATCTTTATGTAATCAAATTTAATCAAGTATTTAAGTAATATATTAAAAATGTGGTATTTGATTGACTAATCTACATTGAATATAGAACTAACTATTAGACATTTTTAAAATTATTTCATTATTATCAGAAGGGGTTTCTTGTGGATATTGTAGTGATTTCCATAGTTGAGATCATTAGTCGATTGAAGTTAGACTATCATGGAAAAACTGAAAGCACTGAAAAGCCATTCCGTCCACAAAATTGAGCAACACATCCGCCATTGTCTTAGGTGAGTTACTATCTCACAACAGATCCGGTTGATCTCCACTGGTTACTGCTTCTCACCAGAACTTCATGAAATAC